ATACAAAATGATGTAAAAATAAACTGTTATAAAATTTTTAAAAAAAAGTTCCTCCCATTGTCTTAAATCAGCTTGAAGCATGAACAGATGAGGTTTACAAATACTAATTGTAAAGGGTTCCAAAAGATGCAATTATTTTAGAAGTAGTTTTCAGAGAGTATTTCATCTTCAAATCTTCTCTAACCAAAATGTTTAGGGTTTACAATTTCGCGGGAGAGAGACTGAGGATAGATCCCCAGCCAACCAGGCCTCAACCCTGAAGAGTTAGATCAGGCAAAATAACTGGATCCCAATGTCCTTTAAAACTGTCTCTGTCAGCTCCCTCCTGAGAACAGTCCAGTAGTATGCCCAATGCGTCAGGGAGTTTAGGGCCATCCATCCCCGTCCTGTCTCCTAATAGTTCTGAGATGAGCTCTCTTTCTACTGCCTGCCCAAAGAAGATATGCAGGAAAAACTTCTTTCTCAGACCCTCAGGAATGAGATGTATTAGACATAAGAAAGGAGGTGCTTTCACTGTGGCATCATGGGCTTACCTCCCTGAGTGCCCTGCCACAGCACACTCAGAGTGAGGAAGGGATAAGACACGTGGAAAACAGTTCAGCCTTTCCAGTCTTTTCTACTGTGATAAGTAATAGGACCATTGTGCCTCTTAAAAGAAGACACTGCAAGTCAGGTGACTTGTTTTCAGGTTGATGAATTGTGTAAAGTGAGGGGAGCCATAGCTGTCTTTGGGTTTAATCACTTATTTTTCATTGTGATTTAGACAGCCATTTTTGTTTGTTTGTTGCTTTTATCAGTTCAAGTAAATTGCTGATGTTTAGTCAAAGTCAACTCTCTTCAGTTACTTGGAGCCCTGAGAAGCAAAAAAAGGAAGCCACTATCATCATCATTGTCCTTTTTTTTAAGGAGAAGCCCAAAAGAGCAGCAGTCAGGCGTTCTGCTACTAGAAAGTGGGTACCATGTACTTGTGGGCAATTACAGGATCCTGAACTCTCCCAGGACCTCAGGCCCCTTGCCACTCAGGCTGGCTGTTCCTTGGCACCTTGGTCTTTTACATCCCAGAAGGCTCAGCATTAGGCGACCACAGCGTGACTTGCTCAGGCAATCCACAGAGAACTCAGGAAATGGCCTTAAATTCTCTGCATTTGGAGAGTTTGAGAACATGTGAATTTTTATTTGATAAGTCAAAAGTTGTTGACTAAGCATTTCATTAACCAAACATTCAATGAAAGATATTTAGTGGTTAATTAGAGAACATCTTCACCTAATAAGCAATAACTAGAACTGCTATAAAATGTTTGTTTCTGACTCCCCTCTTACCACCTCATGTCCTGAAATACTCCCAGAACAGCAACAATTATGAAATTTCTTTATAATAACTTTCATCAGGAACTAAAAATTAACTTCATAATTTAAATTATCTAAAATGAGCTTTTGAAATCATTGATGCATTTTCTGCCAATATTAGAAATCTCTAGGTTGTGGTATAAGCAGTGTATTAAAGGGAGAACTGTATAACGTCAGTTACAGAGCCTTGAGATCATGGCTCCTGCACAGACCCACTCCCTGAGCTCCAACAGCCACTCACACAGCCTCTGATTAACATTTCAAACATGAGAAACCACAACTACAGAGGATTTACATTTAAACAATTGTGACATTATTCTTTGTCTTTTAAATAAAAACCTTGCTTTCTGTTAATTCCACCAGTGAATCCAAATTCTTAGTCCTAGATCAATACAAGGATTTGATTCTTGTATGTACAAGGCTCTTGGTTCTGCCACGGATTGCTGTCATGTGCCTCATGAACTCAAGATAGAGTTCCAGCTCTTGAAAGTGAGAGGAACGTGCCTGGGAAGCCAGGCTTTCCATTGTTTCCATATAATGTAAGCCTAGTTTTCTTTTCAGCAGCTGTATTGCATGACACGAATATTCTGCCTAGATTGAAATTCCTTGTAAATCATACTATTCATAGTATTCTTTAGTAAAACATTAGGATGTAGTTACTAGATGAGCTGTGAATCTACAGTTAACTTGATGATGATATTAGAAGTATCTATGAACAGTATGTGCTATATCTATAAACAGTATGCATGATACTAAGACAACATGTGCTTTTGCATCATCGTGGTTACTATTAGTAAACAAATAGAAACTACAAATAGGTTATAATGATGCTATTTCAGAAGTTTCCTTAACACGAGATTTTCTTATTTTGAAAATTGGGGTATTTGATCTTCTCCAAGCATTGAGCTTTTTATAATAATAAAATTATGATCCTATCTACAAATTTTTCAATACTCAGGCATTGAGTTCTTCTGGAATGGTCACAAAAGCTCTCTCAGTGGACAGACGCTAGCTCCACACCCCTCTTGTAACATATTTTTAGAAATCAATTTTTAAAAAGTCTTCGTTTATAAAGTAGGGCAAGTAAAATAACAGTGTCTGTATTTCATCTGTTATCAATTAAAACAATGCCATCTAATCCAAGCATTGTGTCAGCTCTCCCTTTTTTCTTTTGACTCAAGTATTGTATTTTCTTTTCTTTTTCCATAGTCTCACTTTTCTATGTTTTGCTTCTCCTTTTGTGGGTGTGAGGGGTTCAGAGTAGATCAGGTCTGATCCATTTCATGTGTTTAAACTTTCTCCACTGGCACTTGAGATGTGAGTTGTCTTTCATTTTCTTGTGGCTTTAAAATCGGAGCTTGTAGGCGCTGTTAAAGGGGTTGGGGAGTATGGGCAGTGACAGGGAGAAGAGTTGTCCGCTGGAGAGGGGAAAGCCATGTGCATTCAAGCACAAGAACATATCTCTAAGATGAGTTCATGAGATTTGGTTACTCCCTCTTTTTGTTTTTTGGTTACTCCCTCTTACCCTAAATGGTGTGTGAAAAATTGCATGAGTGTGTTTCTATAGTCACTTTCAGAAGATTCTCAAAGAGGTTACCTTTTTATTTTTTTAAGGAGAATGCTGATCAATTCTATAGTTTTCTATGTCAATATAGGATAAGGCATCTGTTTAAACTGTAGCAAAGTCTCTAGAAGTGCAATCAGTGCATTAGAAGAGGGGCCTCTGCCATACTATGCCCAGGCCGCTGGTGCTGAGCTTAGTGTGCTGTACCTGTCCAGGAGTGAAAACCAACTCTGGTCTTGGTTCCCATGGAGAACAAGTAAATCTTTGTAAATCTTTCATGATTCTCTTTTCAAAGAGGATCTCTCAGTATTTGACCATACTGTATTAGTTTACCACATTTCCTAGGAACACATGATTATGGGAAATGATATTAGTCAAGCCAGAAATAAATAAAAATGTTTTTACAAAGTAAACTAATGTCTTTGTTTTCTTATCCTCCCCGTTCTTAGTCTGCTAAGTAAATCAAATTATGCCATTTCAATGAAAGGTTTTTCCTTGGGTAACCCATTTAATGAATGAAATCTACTGTAACCCCTTAGGTAAAATGGAATTGATATCTTTCTTTTTAAAAAAAAAAGATTTATTTATTTGTGCATACAGAACTGGGGTACAGGCCAGAGACTCAGGGGTGGCGAGACTTCACCAGAGACAGAACAGGCAGATCGACGAAGTACACTGCTGAGGGGAGTAGCGGGTGGGTCGGGAAAGGTCTGCAGCACTAAGTGGTCACCTCCAGGGCAAGCGGGAATCGAACTCATGCGGAAGTGGTTTCAGCTTCTTAGTGCTGTTCTTCAACCCGCTGTGCCACCAGGGAGGGCCTGATGTCTTTCTTATTCACGTAATAATGAAGAGGAAATTAGAAATGAATTTGTTTACCTGAGTTCCTGGATTAATGTCAAATCGCAACCTAATATATAACCTGAGTACAAGTGAATCAAGATAATCTTAAACCCTACCATGGTTTTTTCTGACCAGAATATCTAGAATGTATTGAAAGTGGTCATTCCTGATCAGAAAGCCTTCTACTAGTTTGGTGGGTTGAAGTTATAAAATTTCACCATATATCTTAAGAGCAATTCGCTGGAGTCATGAACTGACCTTTGCTAATTGTTATCTGTTTAGGGATAAAGCAGCACCATGGACTGGGGCACCTTGCACACATTCATCGGGGGTGTGAACAAGCACTCCACCAGCATCGGCAAGGTGTGGATCACTGTCATCTTCATCTTCCGGGTCATGATCCTGGTGGTGGCTGCTCAAGAAGTGTGGGGAGATGAGCAGGAAGATTTTGTCTGCAATACCTTGCAACCTGGCTGCAAAAATGTGTGCTATGACCACTTCTTCCCGGTTTCCCACATCCGTCTTTGGGCCCTGCAGCTCATCTTTGTCTCCACCCCGGCGCTGCTGGTAGGGATGCATGTGGCCTACAACAGACACGAAGCAGCCCGCAAGTTTAGGCGAGGAGAGAAACGGAGTGAATTCAAAGACTTAGAAGACATTAAAAAGCAGAAGGTTCGGATTGAGGGGTCCCTGTGGTGGACGTACACCAGTAGCATTTTTTTCCGAATCGTCTTTGAAGCATGCTTTATGTATGTGTTTTACTTCCTTTACAATGGGTACCACCTGCCCTGGGTATTGAAATGTGGAATTGACCCTTGCCCCAATCTTGTCGACTGCTTTATTTCTAGACCTACTGAGAAAACCGTATTCACCATTTTTATGATTTCTGCATCTGTGATTTGTGTGCTGCTTAATGTGGCCGAGTTGTGCTACCTGTTACTGAAACTGTGTTTTAGGAGATCAAAAAGAGCACGGATGCAAAGAAATCACCCCAATCATGCTATGAAAGAGAGTAAGCAAAATGAAATGAATGAGCTTATTTCAGATAGCGGACAAAATGCAATCACGGGTTTTCCCAGCTAAACATTTTAAAGCACAACATAGCTGACTCATAATAAAATTGGGATGGCCTCCTGAAGGCATACTGACCTAAAAATCCCCTCTCTAGGCTGAAGACTTTGTCTTTGTACATGACTTTCATAATACACAGCTACTTGAGTTAATTTTTGGTAGAATAATTATGCCATTAATATGCAAAGTGGTCCATCTCAGAAAACTAAGACAGGCTGACAACTGTGCCTTGAAGTACAAACTTTAACATGTTTGTTTTAATCAGACCACCTGACATCGTGTGTTGTGAAAATTTAAGTGCATCATGATTGCTGACAAAGACAATTTATCTATAAATTGATAGTTTTATTAGTAAAAGATATTTTTATAGTATTGAAGTTTTCTAGTTCTCACTTAAATTTATATAAAATATTTTTATAATTTCTGGTCTTTCTTACCTAGAAAAACATGGTGTTAGTTTTAGAACTATACCCTAAGCATCAAAATTTTGAATTTATACAGGATCTTTTTTGTTGTAAATATTGTTTTTACAATATTTGTTATGTCTATTGACAAATATATGAACTATCATGATACTCTCAAGGTGGAAAGTGTTCATTGTACAATATGTTTTACTACTTTCTGAATGTAAACAGACCTGTCTGGAAGCAGGAAACTTTTCTTAACTTGCCTATTTGCAATCATTGTGAACAACTCACTTCTGAATGTGCTTGCTTCAATAAAGATTAGCCCGCTACTTCAACTTTCATCTGCAGTATGGGTTTCTGGCCCTAAGGAGTCTGATGAATTGGTTGGTGACTTGCTGGTGAGACTCCTGGTAGCCCTGTGCGAGCCTCTTGGGACTTCAGTGGGGCCTCTGAAATGAACATAGACTGAGTTAGGAGCCCATCCAGTCTTCAGTTTGAAGAGGGGTGCTTTAGGACACAGAAAATGTCCTCTGAGCCAGTTCAGTCTTAACAGAGAAGAATTTAAGGACTGTTTCTGCAATTCAGAATTCAGTGTAAATCTTACCCCTTCATTTCCATAGATTGAGAAATCGTCCTCCCCAGGGATTAACAGATGGAACACAGATGTCTTTTAATGTGGATGTCCATAAGTCAATTGCAAACAAGTCACTTTGGAGTAATAACATACACACAAATGCAACCTCTGGGTAAAGAGATATAATTAGAGTGGTCTTCCACGCCAAGTGGAAAATGAATATATGAGAGCCTGACATGGCACAATGATTCCATAATCTATCTCCAGGAAACCAAGTAAGTCTCATTTTCTTCAGTCCAGAGCAAATTCCAGACATCATTTTGCCCAAACATATTTTAGTATCACTCAATAAAAAACAAGGACTAACTTTTTGAAACAATTTTATGATCACACTATAAATAAAATCTAGTTAGCACTCTTAATTCCTGATTATCTTTAAAAAATTCTTACCTTTAAATGGCTATTTGAATAGGTATCAAATGACACTCATAACAGGATAGGAGAAAATATCAGATAAAACAGTCTTGGCATCAATTTCAATCTGTGTATAAAAGGGATCCATCTATGCTCTTGGAAATCCTAGTCCCCCTTATGAGAGCCCTGGTGGTCCTTTCTCTCTTTTATATTTTTAATCTCTTCCTCTCTCTAGTTGCTTTCTACTCTTCACACTCTTTGAAATGTCCTTCCCTCTGGAACTGTCTCTGTACCGTCCATGCTTTCTATCCACCTACTTCTCAATACCTTAACCTGGACATACAGTCACCACTGAACTGAAGTCAATAGCAGTACCCATGACTTTTTGAACACCAAATCTTTGGCTTCTTCTCAGTTATCATCTTGAAATTCTGTTTTCTGGATCCTGAATACTGCCCAACCTAACCTTGAGTCTTCACCTCCTCAGTTTCTTTCACTATCTTCTCTCTCTCCTAACTCTTGAATGAAGATTTTTTCTTTCTTGCAAGGCATCCTATCTTACAAAGAGGACATTGACTTTCAAGAAGTTAGCTTGTCCAAGGTTAATCATAAAGAGCAGAATAGCAGAGCCAAGCCTCAAGCCAGATCCAGCTAGTTGCCATGGGGGAGTTGCCTGGGAGTTCAATGAGCACAAGCTGAATTTAGCAGCCCACCCATTCTCAAATGGAGTGGTTGGCTACTTTAGAACACAGAAAATGTCCTCTGGGTTAGTCCAATCTGAAGTCAGTGGCTTAACCTCCATGTTGCTTTTGACTCCCAGAGCACCATGCCTGATGACCCAAAGTTATGTATAGTGTTAAGAACATTCACACACTGCTCACCTAATCCCAACAATTATCTGTTCATGTCTATCACTATCCCAACAGACCTTATTCTCTTGTCTGAATTACTCTGAAGCAAATCTTATGCATATTTCATCTGTAAATATTGCAATATGGGCCTTTTAAGACTAGAGACTAATCTTGTTTAAGGAAACACAATGTAACCATTACACCAAAAAATGCAGTCAGTGTTCATAATTCCAAACTTTCTTTTTTAAAATCATTCCTGTTATTTGATATAATTACAGATCCACAAGTAGGTGTAAGAAAAAATACAGAGACATTCCATGTTCTCTTTAACATTCCCACAGTGGTACTGTCTTACAAGTGATAACACAAGATCTCACTCAGGATTCTGACACAGATAAATCAGATAGAGCATGTTTCTACTACTACAAGGATCCCTCACATTGCACTTTTATACCCACTTTCTATTCCATCCAAACCCATCACATTCCTGCTTAATTGCCAGCAACTTCTGATCCACTCACCATTTCTGAAGCTTTGTCATTTTAAGAACGTCATAAAAGGAATCATACAATAGGAACCTTTGGAGATTGGATTCTGCCCCTGTCCCTCCCTGCATCATAATTCCCTGGAGCTTCATCTTTATTTCTTTCCACTGTTGTGTAATATTCCATGGTATATATGTACCACAATTTGTCTAGCTATTCACTAACTGAAAGACACCTGTGTTGTTTCCAGTTTAGAGTTCATGTGAAAAATATAAGCATTTATGTACATATTTCTTTCTTTCTTCCTTCCTTTTTTTTCCTAGGACACATATCCAATAGTCCAATTTCTGGGCTTTATGGTAGTTGCACACATTTTTTAAAGATACTGCCAACCTATTTTCCAGAGTAGTTACACCATTATATTTACAGTCCCACCAGCAACATCTGAGTGACCAAGTTTTTCCTCATTCTCACCAGCCTTTGCAAGTATCACTATTTTCCATTCTAGCCATTTTGATAAATGTGTTTGATAAGCATTTTCCTAATGGCTAGTGAAGTTGAACATCTTTTCATATATTTTCCATTGCTATATTCTCTTCAAATCTTTTGTCTATTTTCTAATGACAAAAGATTTTTTGGTTTTCTACTGTTGAGTGTTGAGAGTTCTTTATATCTTGATCTCAGTCCTTGTACAGTGTCTTGTTTTTAAATATTTTCTCCCATCCTGTAGTTTTTTATTAACAAGATATTATGCAGAGTAATACTTTTCATTTTAACAATGTCCAATTTTCCATGTTTTTCTTTTATGGAATGTGTTTTTGGTGTCATCCAAGAACCGTTTGGCCTAGCCTTTAATCCCAAAGATTTCTCTCCTATTGTTTTCCTAAAAGTTGTATAGTTTTATACTCTACACTTAAACTTGTGGTCTGTTTTGTGTAATTTTTATATAAGGCCTGAGACTTAGTTTTAAGTTGAGGTTCATTTTTTTCCCAGGAGAAGTCCAGTTGCCCCACCACAGTATGATGAAAATGCTATCTCTTCCCCATTGAAGTGTATTTGCTCCCTGACAAAAATCAACTAGGACACATTTGTGAGAGGTCACTCTCTGGATTCTGTCTGTTCCATTAATGTGTGTGTCAGTCTGTCCAATGATACCAGATAATCTAGTAATCATACTATGTAAGTAATTCTTGAAATCTTCTAGATGATTTCTTCCACTTACTCTTTTTTAAATTGTTTTCTCTATTCTAGTTCCTCTACTGTTTCACTTTAGAAAATTCTTGTTTATGTCTAAAATAAATGTCCCAAGACTTTTCATAGGAATGGCATAAAACCTATATTATCAATTTGGGGTGCACTGACATATTTGTGATGTCAAATCTTTGCATGAATATAGCCAGTACAACTATTTGATTCCCTTCATCAGTTTTTTGTAGTTTTCGGCATACAAATCATAAAAGTTTGTTATATGTAGTTCTAACCATTTCATTTTCTTTATGTGATTGTAGTCTTGTATTAATTAACTTTAATTTCAGTGTCCACATATTCATTACAAAAATAGAAAAATAAATTTTCATTTTATTTGTAAGTTGTGATCTTGCTGAACTCACTTATTAGTTTAGGTGATTTTTGTATATTCCTTAGGATTTCCTGCTAGACAATCTTACCATTTGCAAATAGGGATAATTTTATTCCTTCCCTTTTGTTCTATATGTCTTTTGTTTCCTTTTCTTGCCATGTTGCACTAGCTAGAACTCCCATCACTAGTTTTGGACTAGGAAGGACAAAACAGAAATCCGTATCTTGCTCCTGATCAAAAAATCCAATTTTCCACTATTAAATAAAATGCTAACCCCTGTTAGCCTAGGAGTTAAATCTCAGCACTATCACCATTAAGGCCTGAATTTGTTCCCTGGCCAAAATGGTAACTCACATGGAGCAGCAGATCTCTCATGTCTACCTTGCTTCTCCCCTCAGTTTATATTTCAATAAATTCATATATTCTGCTCCTTATTCTGTCTCTGGTGAATCTTCTCAGCCCACCCCTACCATGCACCTCCGGTTTACACCTCTGTTCTTCTATGCAAAAATAAATAAAAAATTTTAAAAATTTAAATTAAAAAGTGTTTCAAGATTATCTATTATTATTGTTTATCTGTTAGCTATTATTGATTTCTACTTCAATTTCATTGTAATCAGAGAACATTTATTATTTCAATCAATTTTAAATGTATTGGGGTTTATTTTACAGCCCATTATTAAGCATGTGTTCTGGTGTTTTGATTTCTGTGACCCTACTAACCCTGGAGAGACTGACTTGACTCCAGGACTAACCCTTGGGTGTTCACCTTTCATATGCAAACCAACCAATACAAAACCTGCACTATAAATTGGTGGAGGAAGAAATGCAGGGGAGGCATCACAAGACTGAGTCACACAAAGGGGACAGGTAGAAGGGGCTAGTGAAGCAACTGACACAGCTATAAAATCAAGCTCCTCAAGCTGGAAAAGATCATGCTTAGTGAGATAAGCCAGAAAGAGAAAGAAAAAACCGGATGGTTTCGCTCATAGCAGGA